TTATAATTGCTGTAAGAAGAGCTCTTTGAAATCAGATGATTATAAAAACAAGATCCTTTAAAGTCCCATTACTTCAAATGTAAATGATTTACTAAAACAAAAAACCGAAACAGCGGAATTCTCCTTAGTACGTGAAAACTAGTTCTCCTCTGAGAACCGTAGAGACAGCAGTCTCAGGTACTGAACACGAGATAATTTTTAATCTGTCTTTGAACTCGGGCACCTAACAGACAAGAGTAGGAGAGTTTGATATATTTCGCCAAAGTCGGGAGGCAGAATCACTCTGTAAACTAAGCAAAATATACGTCCCCTCCAAATTATCCATGTCAGATAAAAATACACCAGGGTCTAGAACATCCAACAGAATGGCAAATGAGGCACTTGGCATTCTAAATTCCCAATGCATATTTATAGAACTGAATTCTCTTGTCTACCCTTCAAGCCACTCACGTCTGGCTCTCTAAGAACTTAAACCCGATTTCCAGTCTTTAAAGGAAAAAGTGTGCGTGCAGTGGGGGGATCCGGAAGATGTTTACCCGGGATAGGGCAAGTGAGCCCGGCGTGACGACGTAGGCCACTGCCAGCAGCCTGCACCGCAAGGACGCGGAGCAAGCGGGGACTGCTATGCAAAATTCCTCCTTCCTGCAGACGACGAAGCGTGGGGACCCCTGGAGCCAACTGCTGCTGGGGCCGCCTCCGGAAAAAGTACTCGCGGGCGGAGAACGGGAGGGCACCACACACACCAGCGCACTCAGTGTCCGTGACCATCGCCGTGGCGGCAAGCGAGCCACCGGAGGGAGTGTGCGCGCGTGTCTCACCGCTGCCGGCGGCGACCGCGCCGAGCTCCCGGGCTCGCGGCCTCCAGCACCAGGACGCTGCGTGGGCTCCAGGCGACCAGCCGCCCGCGAGGCTTCCCGCCGGAGAAAGGCCCCAGCGCGCCCGGCTTCCCGAGCGCCTCTGCCCAACTTGCCCCGGGCTGCTGGGAAGAGCGCGCGCGAGAGAAAGAAAGGCGCTTCCCCTCGGCCGCGCGGGTCCGTCCTGCGCCGCGGAGGGCGAGCAAGAGGAGGAGACCGCGGCGGCCTGACTGTCGCTGCGCCGCGCTGGGTCCCCGCTGCCCGGGGCGCGCCCTCGCCAGCCCCTCCTGCGAAACTTTCTTTTTGGTTCGCCCCACCCGAAAAGTGCGGCCGGGGCGGGGGTGGCCGGCGGGCTGGATTGGCGGCGGCGGCGGGCTAGGAGGAAGTGGTGCCCGCGGGAGCGCGGCCGGGCAGAGGAAATGCCCGGCGCGCCCGCGCCCGCCGCCTGCCCCGGGCCCCCGCCCCGCTGCGACTTTGGCGGGCCGAGGTCGGCGCGGCAGTGGTGGCGGCGGCGGCAGATGTGGCCCGGCTGCCCGGAGGAGGCAACAATGCGGGGCCGGCAAAACAAAAGGGTTCCCTTCGCCTCCTTCCCCGTCTTTCACTTGCGCTCCCGGGGCTCCGCGCAGGATCCTCTGCCAGCAGGGGCCGCTCCCCTGGGGGCCCCGAGCCGCGCGCGCCCCGGTCTCCCCGCGCACCCCGCTCCCCCTGCCCCCGCTCCGCAGGCGTAAGGCCCCACGCACTCGGCCTCCGGTCCCGGGGGATCCGGCCGTATTGTCCCCGCGGCGCGCCGCGCGCTCGGCCTGGGTCGTGGGCGGCCCCCGCGCGCGCACCCACCGGCCTCAGGGAGCAGGAGCCGGGGGCGCCTAGGAAACCGTCGCCGAGACGCCGCCGCCGCTGCTGCCCTCCGGACGCCGCCGCGATTGGGGTTTCTCTTTTTTTTTTTTTTT